ATACAGTTGTCATGTATATAAATTGTAATTGTATAAATAAATATTGATTTAATACGTACTTTTGACTCCCATTTCTACAGAAATTTCATTCCACAACTTTTTACAAACGTCTCTGTTGTGGTAACATATTTTGATTTGATGTTTCACAATGGCTCTTTTTCAAATACTAAATTGATTAATTTTTCACAGTCAACCATATTTACGGCAGAATAATGAAATTTAAAATAATTCAAAATAGTATTAACAAACTATGACAAGTTACTTAACTTAATAATGTCGTAGGTAGTTGAGTAGACAGTATTGAGTTTATAGTATTATATTAATATGTAATCGTACTACAATCTATCTGATCAAGGAAAATGTCGAAAGGCAAATGACAAAAATTATAATTCAATGTTTTTATAAAAATAAATYCAATAYAATTTWTTTTTATTTTTAAAACTTCCATAATTAAATAATATACCTACATTTATATATTTTCATTTTAATTAAATAAACTATTTCTGGCCGATTCGGCCGGAAAAAACAAAATATTTTGTTTTCGTCCGGCGTCGGCAGTATACGGCCGTATTTATCGGATATAATGTGACCGGTGCAATTTAATTTCATGCTTTTATTTTATTCGGACGTTTTCGTCCGTATTCGGCAGAACGTTAATTCGGGTCTAACCATACCCTAACAATCCTATCCTATCCGCCTACGTGAGAAACGCTACGGAGTTGTAGAAAGTAGGTACCTTTAAATGTTTAGTTTTGGCATTTTGTCAATTTTATTAGAGAAAACTTAAATTTAATTTAATAATAATAGTTACCTATTGAATAAAAATTGTACAATTTTTTACCATATTACGCAATTGCAAATATTTTTCTTACATATTTTCACGATTTTCAGTGAATATAATTATACTTTTTAATGCATACAATCTGTGTAATTGCTATGTACTGACGTCCCGCTGAGACATCTAAACACGCATATACACGTAGAYATRTATAAGTGACCCTGGGGCGTATGAKTTCGCCAACCAATTCTATTGTGTAGGACCTCAATAGCTATATCGAAGGCCAAACTTCTAGCCTTTCCAAAATATTACCATAATTGGAATTAAATATACGAAATATTAAATATGAAATC